TCAACACCTTGGTAGTTCAGTTTCTTCTAGAGATTGTACTTTTTCTATCCTAAAACTCATCAGTGAAAGTCCTCCCACACAAATTCCCTAATAAGAGTGTGGCTGTCTACTTTCTTGCAAACGTGGCAGGTGGCCCCCGCCCCCACCTCGACAACACTGGAAACTTCTCAACTGATGGACCCCTCAGTGGGGGGACAAGAAAGGGAGGGCCCCTCAGTCAACAGACAGGGCCCTTAGCCAACTAAATGCCTCCATCAAGAGAAGTTCCTAGCTCACTGACCATGTATGACCACAGATCAGATTTGACTCAGGTTACAAATGGAGCCCCGCTGGGGGCCATGTTGAGTCGGTCTTCCTTGGAGCAGTGGGTCTGCAGTTGGGGACTCTCCCCTTAGGTTGGGATGCCACCTAAGGAAACTCCTCAAGGTTGACAGCCCTCATCTTATAGGTGAGTGATTGCGCATTGTGGATTATCATTGAGACCATTTGGATCCCTTGAGACGTGTACTAATTGAATTCCACATGGTACCCTCAATCTGCAGTTTAATGTTTGTTGGAGTGTAAAGTTATTTTAGTTAAGATCACATTTTCTTTTTATCCTAAGCTTCAACTTGGGTTAGACCAATAAATTATCCTTTTGAGTTTGCCATCTGCCTGGTTTGATTGTGTATATCTAATCCTTTAAACATAAACCATTGACCAAGTCTGGGACTAGAAGTGGATCCAGCTGCACCTCGACTCCTCTCGAGAAGGAGTTTAGAAAGCAAGGAGGTCCTCTCTGAATCTCATGACTTGATGGGAGGACCTCCTCGACAGTTTTGTTTGAACTTGCCCTCTGTGCAGCAAATACTGGTATGCCTCCACGACACCAAACAAAATTAATTCCCAAAAAAAGTGACATAATCACAGTGGTATCACTGTCTTACAGAACCATGGTTCAGAGGTGACCACAGAGGAAAATTATATATGGCTTGAGGAAGCTGGGGAAAGATGTGGAGCTACCACTTTAGTTGCCTATGACCTATTACTTCACCAATCCAGTCACCCATCCAGAAACTGTATCTAAGTTGTACACTGGGAATAAACATCAATGAAGTACAGGAATCATAAGTGATCAGCAGCACCACAGCAGATGCGTTATTTCATCATCATCCAAAACCTATAAATAAGAACAATCTCACTATCTTACATCCTGAGGGAATCCACTTTCATACATAAAAATACTCTGTACATGACTGGGGCAAGAACAGGGGAAAAGAAGGTGGCATATACAACTTTTCTCTCTCAGGAGAGGAATGTCAAAGAATCGCATGACATAGAAGCCCATCAAAATTAATGTATCCCTACCAGCACTAATTACAGGTGCACCGTTTGAAACTGGGAAGCCTATTTCTTTAAGGCAGCACTACAATGACTTATTTAACAACTGCTTTTGTTAGGTTGATTTTTATCGAGAACCAAAATCTCTACTTAAAAAGCAAGTCAGAGTCAGAAGTGAGTAAATATATTTTAGATTGCATTTGGAGAAGCATACAGATATTTAGAAACTTCTGATATCAAAACATATATCCGCTCAAGCCTTCTTAGTAGTGAAACAAAAAAACTAGTAGAACTTCATATCAGTTTCTCAAAAACTATTTGCTCAGCTGGCAGTGGCCACCCAGGCACCCCCTAAATGTCAGCAATGGAGCAGAAGGAACCGCACAGCCTCTCATTTGGTATGTGATTACAGCCACAGGACAGGGCACATGATCCTATTGAAGGGATAGGAAAGACAGGAATGATGCAACTATTCAGGTAAAACAAATACTGTTAGGTGTAAGCAAAGATCTGCAGCACCTGCATCTCCTCTAATAGACCAATATTTTTGTTCAACACTTTTCTAGGTTAATTTCTGCCCTATATTCATCTGTGAAGAGAAAGAGACTTCTCAGCCAAACGACCAATTTAAATAAAATATTCTGTTCTGCCCCAAAATGTCAATTTGGAAAAAGAAATACACACTTGCTCAGACAGATTTATTTCACAGTGAGAAGGGTGAACTTTCAGACTGTCCACAGTCCAATGTCTGCAAAGGTCCTCTGGAAATAAAGAGAGTTGTGAGTGTCAGAGCCACGCAGTCTGCACCCTGTGTTTTACACTTCTCCTTCACAGTTATGTCAAACCTCTTTACTATGTTTGATAAAAGTAGTAAAACAATGGAAGTGTTTAAATGATTTACTTACGATTTTAACCTGCTATCTGAATCACCTAGAGATTTCTTGGAAATGATGACTAGATGCTGAAGAATAAACGTAACCTAGGGTTCTCCAGTGGGAGTTTCCATCTCACAGTATAGTTTAATGAAGATCCCAGTAGCAAATCCTAAGATTTTAACTGAAGGCAAGGAGACTTATTTTTATACATCACATAGACTCCACTTTAGGAGCTGCCAGTTTGCATATAGGGAATAAAAAGCCCCTTGGCTAAATACAGACACTGGAATAAAGTGTCAGTTAACAGTAATTTCATCCCACAAGTGTTCTTGCCTATACAACCTAATGAAGAAAGATTATTTTAAGATAAGAGCACTGAAAAGGAAGAAAAAAAAGTGAAAAAGGAGGAAAGACAAAGAACTACAAAGAAATCACAATGTTGCACAGAAGCAAAACACCCAATTATGCTTTGATCATGGCTTGAATTTTAAATGTTACTGTCATCATTATTTTCTATCACACAACTTCTTTCAGTGATTACTTGATATCTGTGATATATGTCAGATGTACAGAAAAACAAAGCATGTTATAGGCAGAAGTAGTAGCTTATCTTACAGACATAATAAAGCCCATCTCTCAAATATTATTGAGAAGCCTGTCAACAAAGTAAATCAAGCACCGAGTAGAAAGGAGGCATAATGCTTAATTCCCTCAATCAGCATTTTCCTGCTTGCCAGGAGCACCTCTCCTGGGTGGGCTGGCAAGGTGCAAGCTAATTTACAGATCCAGGAGGAGTCAACTGCATCCACATAGCACTTCTCCCACGTTAATTAAGAGGAGACTGAAAAGTAAAGTTCACTCAGAAATGGTAGTGAGGGAAAAAAATAACTCAAGGAAACGTTGACTGTTATGAAAAGAAAACAACAAAGCAATCATCAGATCTTCCTATCAGTCAAATTACTGTTGTTTCCAGATTAAAGATTTCAGAAGTGTTATATCGAGCATATAGACAAGGTTACTTCCTATTTACCTGGGAGCACCTGATTAAAAATGGTATTAATTTCCACTTTCACACTCATTTCTATCTAGAGCATTCAAAGCCACACAGGAAGACCAGACATTAGGCTTCAAGGTTGGAGGGCAGAGAGGAGCCAACGAGTCCCACACCAAGCCAGCTCTCTGGAACGTGAAGGTTGCTGTCTTTGGATGGGATCCTCTGCAAGTCAGCCCTCTGCCTGCGTACTAAAGCATGCAAAATGAAGCAGTTATCTCACAGGTCCTCTGGGTACCCGGAATGTTACACAGGAGGAGGCTGAGGACCAAGGAGCTGCCCAAGCTTTCTAGATGCTGTAAACACTTTCTGATTGAAATGATGAGATAGCGCTCATGGTATCCAATAAGCTACTTACAGCCCATGGAATTTATTGTGTATAATGTGCCTCAATTTTCCCTGTCATTTCTGCTGTATAAAAATGGCAAAGACTGAAGAAAAGAGTCAGTCAGCGTTTCATACCTCCTACCTTCCACCTTCCCCAGCACGGCGTGCAACACGCCACTCCAGGTTTGAATTTAGGCAGGCCCACTCCAGGCTTGAATTTAGGCAGGCAAATGCCCAGAAGATGAGGGCATCCCCATGGGGCTCACAGGGGACCAGGCTGAAGTGCTCTCCTCCTACCTGATGTGTGGGGCTATCTCCTATGACTCTTTTGGTGCTCTGTGCATATGCTCTCTAATAATCTGGTATTATTTTGTGTTTTCTAAACACATTTTCCAACTAATATTTTCCAATTAACTACTTTTTTCCTAACTAATTACTACTTTCTAATTAACTAGTTTCTCTATTAACAAATTTTGTAATACAATTCATAGACACAGAACAATTCTCAAGAAGCTATGCAGTTACAACATAGGTTCAATTAATGTTTTATAGGATAAAGAAGGTAACAGGATGAAAGTTAACTGAAGCTCCACTTACATGTTTTCAGAGCAGAATCATTGTTAATAAATGTTTAAAATAATCCTGGTATCTCACTTCAAAATTAAGTAATGAATCACTGCATATGCAAAAGAAAACAAACACTGCCTTAATATTGGTGTTTCTTGGAAATACATTTATTTACCCTAGCTAGCTAAAAGAAAGACTGATTTTCTTGACCACGAGTGATCAAAGATGTTTGTCATGTTTCACCATTTACCCAGAGCATCAGGGTGTCCCTCAGAAGTCTGTTCCTTTCAGATCATTTATCTCTGCTGGAGAGACAACTCCTTTCAAAAAAACTCAGTGCTTGGTAAAAATCAAGTCTTTCACTGACCCCCTTCTCCAGATTGTGAGTTCTCAGAGCACACAACTTTATTTAGATCTGTTTTCGTTGAGAGGAGCATGCTGTTTTTCAATCTCAAACTGATTCATCTCTTTCACATCATGACTCCATGATACCAAAAAGTCTTAAGAGTAAAGCAAAGAAAAACACTCATTTAGTAACACATAAGCTTTGGGTACAGTATTAGGAATAGCACAGTTTAACAAAAAAACAAACCCCAAAATTTTTTAACCTGTCAAAGGATATGTGCACTACTTAGACACCACCAAAGACTCTTTCCAAGACCAAGCAGTTTGTTGCTTAAGATCATTTTTTCCTTTGCAGCTCCTTTAGTCTGCCAGCCATCTCCTTCTCTTCCATGACACCACTCATGGACTCAATTTGTACAGTAAAATATGGCCTCAGCAAACACTCACAATATAAATGAATAAATAAAAGATGAAACTTCTTTTTATAACTCGTTCTACATTTGATTGCAAAGCACCTACCTGAACATGTCTCCTAAGCCTTTCAGCATTCCTTTCTTTGCCTTAATTTTATCCTTCTCTTTATCTCGATCCTTCTTCTTTTCCTTTCCAGCCTTTTTTCTGTCACCTTTATCTTGGCTTCCATTCATCTGTCTCTCCAATGAGTGGGATGGCTGGTCACTTGCTGTGGACACAGATTCTCTACCAGATCTTGAGCTCTCCTCTGTGTCTTCCTCCACTGAAAGTACGTATCAGGAAACATCAGTGGGATAAGAACAAACAACACGGGCAGGCTTTTTGGTATATTGCATAACATACTTTGAAGCGGGATATATGCACAACCACAAAATATTCATATTTTTTTCAAAATCAGCATCTGCTCCTGTGGGGGTTTCCTGGAATGTTCATTTGTACTATTAAACTCCTAAAATCAAGGAATCCATCTTTGCAGAACACTCTGCAAAACATGATTAGTGCTTTGTGGGTACTCTGAATAATGTATGGATTAACAAAGATGATTAGCAAAGTGATGCTAACTGGCCCTTTTTGTTTTAGCATCTAAATCAGCTGAGGAGAGCTTTAGAAATATCTGGAAGAAGAAACAACAGCAGTACAGCATGCACTGTCAGTAAATTCTTAGTAATACTCTCACAAAAGTATGAAAGTCATTAAGACTGTTAACCCTCAATACAAGTCTTAATAGACTTTTTCTTCTGCTGCAAGTAACATAACGGTTTTGTCACTCTACTTCATTTCATGGAGCAGTTTAAAACACATCATGCATCATGATTCTTATTCTTGGTTTTATTCTTGGTTGAGATGGGGCAGGTTTGGGTGGAGAGATTCCATCCAGCACAACAAGTAACATCCTTTAAGAGCAGATAACATGTTCCTTCTCTGTTTCTAATCCAAGACCAAGACTCCAAGAATCCTGAAGTATATCCAAGGTTAGATTTAACAGAGCACATGTATTTCAGAAAGTTTGAAAGAAAAATGGCCAAAAGAAACAATCCATTCAAAAACCGAAAACTTCTGCAGTAGCTTAGTGAGAAAGAAATAAAATACTTCAAGCTCGCGGGTCAGAATCCTGGAACCATTTTGACTTAACCTAAAGCCAAGTCTAAAAATTACACTGCATGGCTGGTGAAGCTGTGACCTTCCAGGAGCTCTAACATTTTATACCACTACATTACAAGTAGGGCTACATCATCTCCGAATTTTCCAACAGACAGCACGAAGCAGCAATTAGGATCACAGACGCATACTTTGTGCTGTCTCCTGTAGCTCTAATGAATACAAAGGCTCCAAACAACTTTTGGCAGTAGAAGTTGAAAAATATAATTTTGTGTTATATATATATAGTCTATGGAAAAGAAATTTTTTGTACTCAGTAAGATTTGCAAATGTCCATGGCTTACAAAATGAAAAAAAGAATATTTTTTTAGTTTAGCATAGGTTTACTACTTCTTCGTATTATTGCTGCTAACATTATTGTTTCTAGATCTCAGTGACCCTTCTACAGCCAACAGAAGTGTGTAATTCTTTAGAAATTTCTCATACATAGGCTACTGTAGAAGATAAACATGCTTTTCCTAGTCATCATTCATATTCACCTTACAAGTAACTCATTGAACCTGAAAAGTCTACAAATCACTGATTGAAAGTCATTTGATATCATCTCTTCTCTGTGATACTTGCCTGCAAAATACTGTTTATTCATTAATATTACAATACAGAGATCTGTCCAATAGACTTAGTACTTATTCACTGACTATCCCAAGTTTTCTATAAATACTCTCTAACCCTGGAAGATCACATAAACATATTTCAAGAAAAACATACCATGTCAGATAAATCTCAACATTAATAACTATTTTTGAATCTCAATTAGTACTATGAAGTACAAACCATCAGGGGAAAAAATAAAGGAGGGAAAAAAAAAAAAGGACAGGTCTCAGCATTTCATGTTAACTTGTCTCCAGGAGTGCTATGAGTTAAGCAGATGATACAGCTTCTCAACCATAGGCACAGTTTTAATATTCAGTTGATTGTATCTTAGAAAATGAATAAGCCTGTCCTATACCTGCCTCTGTACTAGCTGTACTTGTCTTTTTTTGGTCACAGTGTTTCTTGATCAGTGTCTGGGATGATATTTAGTTATTATTAAAAGAGTAGTGGAAAACCACTTTGGAATAGAGATGCTAATTTTTTGCATGTTAATTTATAGCTACAATCTGTTCCAGTTAAAACCAACTAGACATTTAAAAGATTGTACTTGCAAACGAATATGATTAGTAAAAAAAATGCTTTAAATTTTTGACAAATTTTGAAGTCTAATGCTTACTTGGTACGTCATTGCTAGAATGTTAAAGATTAATCAGTTTTGATCTATGGTTGTTCATATCCATATAACAATACATTGAATTAATCCTAAATACATATCTAGTCTACTGTGCTATGCTGAGTTGCTGAACAACTTGTCATAACAATGTTTCCTCTTATTATTTATTTTGCATATTCTATGGCGATAATATTGCCTGCTTTCCACACTCGTGCTGCAATAAATATTTGTCTGTCATACATAGTTTCCTTGCAATTAACTCCGTAGCTTAGACTGAGCCCTGTGAACTAGGACGCCTAGTCTCCTGGAGTAAACACTGGTGTAACTACTGGACCAAAGAGATTTCCAGTTTTCTTAAAAGGACTCAACATGAAGCAACTGGTTTCACTTTTATGCAGCAGTCATTCTGCAATTAACATACACCTAATTACTAGTGTTTAGAACAAATGCAAATGCTGCTCAATTAAAATTTAAGTCCAGGCTACAAATGAAACTTCTAATTTTTGTTAAGTTGCCGTAATGATAATTAGGTTACTGCAAAATGCAGAATGTATTGTTTTGGTGCTTTTATTTCCTTCCTTTCCTGCAACCTTCTGCCTCCCCATTCAGGATGCTGAAGCCAAAAAATTAAACTGGAGTATACTTTAAACATCAATTAAACCTAAAATGTAGTGTCATTTCATGAAGCATAGTGTACTATGGAGAACTACACAAACAGGTATTACGAAGCTATTCTCCTAATTAGCCCATAAAATGGAAAAGATGCACATGAGGAATCAAAGCTACTTAATGTGAAGCTATTTTGCCACTAAGCTTCTAGGCCTCTTATTGTGATATTTAATACAGCCCTAGATTCTAGCAATTAAGATTCAGCAAAAGATTAGAAAGCTTTGTCGATCTCTCCCAATCCAAATGCCTTGTTCTCATTCAAGACACTAAAGATAAACATTTTGCATCCAGTCAGCTATTTCAAGTATTAAGGAAAAAAATAAAGCCAGAAAACTGATCTTTAAAAGCTGAACACCCACACCTTTCCACAAATGTTACTTCTTTACAGCCATTAAAACTCACACGCATCTTCTCAAATACTTTTTAAAATGTTACCCCATAACTGGTCACTGCTATCTGATTTTCATCCTACATTTAGTAATTTAATAGCACGTTGCTCCAAGGTCAGCAAGCACATTCAGAAGACAGTCAGCCTCTTTGCCACATAGGCTACCTTTATTTTTATAGCTTTTGTATATGAGGTGATGACATGTTAAGGATTCCTCTATACAATATATTGCAGTGCTATTATTTTCTACTACAAAGAGGGTCACTGGCTGGAAGAAAGAAGCACTCTTAACACTGAAACACTTGGAGGAGAAAGTGGAAAAAATTCAAGTAAGCTATATGGATGCAACCTCAAGGGCATCAGCAAGTTGACCACCAACATGTTTGTCTGGGTTTTATAATGACAGAAAGCCCCATTTTAATTTCAAACAATTCTGGAATATTTAAATACTATTTAAAAAAACTTAGGCAATGTTGTTATGGCAGCAGTGAGGCATTAGCTCCATTAAGATCAAACTGATAAATTAACTTCTACATATTCTTATGTGCCCAGGCTTTGTCCAGCTGAAGACATCATTTGGTAAATTCTCTGGAACCTAAGGCCAGATATAATTTACACAATGTGGAGCAGACTGCAGTGCTTTCAGTTTTAACATAGGTACAGACATGTTTTCAGAAAGACAGGCAACGTATGGCTGGGCCAGCTCTTAAGCTCTGATGGTCACTGTGAGGAGACGACCTCGAGGACTGAATTCTGTCCAATCAACTTACTACGTTCTCTTTGCTACTCATCTGCTTCTATTAACCTGGCACTGCAAATTTCTGGATTACTTCTTGGATGTTTTATTATAATATGTGGAAGCTATTAAAACACAGATAACAGAATGCAAAGTTCTATGCATATAGCTCAGTCACACCTTGCTCAGCCCTTCTTTACCATGCGAGATTTGAGAACAGTCTCTCTATTGCTCTCCCATGACACTGAGATGGCTCTTGGTCCATCAGTGCCAGATGACTTCATCCATACAGAGAGAGGAAGGCAAAGACTCACCCCACGGCATTTTGATTTCAGTCAGAAAGTTTTGTCTGTTTTCCGCTACTCCCATGCCAAGGATACAAAGGTCACCAAATACTTCCTTGCTACTCTCTGTGCATTAACAAGCTCAAAACACCTTACAGTAATCTCATAAACCTATAGACACCTAGGAAGTGTTTCATGACAACAGTTTTGCCATATATTTGATCAAATGAAGTTAAACCATCTGTAACTTCTGGATAAGCCCTGAGTATCCGATGCTTCAAAACAGGATATTACAATCAGTGGGCTCACACCAAACAAGGCCTTTTAGAAAAACATGGTCCAATGTCCCAAAAGACCACAGGCACGCAGTTTGGGGGAGTGAGCAGGATCACTACACATTTTCTCCTACCTATTCTTCTACTGGCCAGAAACAGATTGACAGCCAGCAGCACCAGACCAGCATTTAGCCTGACTGCCGCATGAAATTGCTAGGTGCTGGAAAAGCGAAGCAGAATTAATTCCATCTGTAACTACCTTTGAGAAAAGTGACTTGCAAAATGACCTCCCTTTCACTCTCAGAACATTTTTAGAAAGAGGCAGATTTTAAAAAAAAAAAAAGCAAAGAGTTTTAAAAAAATAAAAGAGCGATTACACAAGTAGCTTATAAAAGAATATTAGGGGATGACACTTATGAAACAGACTTTCTGAAACTAAAACATTTTAAAAAGAGCAGAGAGTGAAAAATCTCTCTTCAAGGCTTTTCTGTTAGCATTCAGGCTAAGTATTTCACTACTTCAACCTTCCCACCATCATCTTCGTTCATAAACTTCTAACTAGCTGCAGGTTGATTAAAAAAAATTCTGCTGGTATGTGACAATTCAAAAGTAGTACAACATGAAGGTTAAAAATTCAATGATTTTAATACAACCTTGATTGAGGTAATTTACCATTCATACTATTTTCATTCAATACGAGTTGTCATTTTACCAGCCTATTCTTACATAGTTCAATAATGATAAGGTTAGCTTTGAAGTGATTTCTTTTATGTTAATGACATTCTCCACATGTTGGGTCATACTTCGGGTTAAAGAACTGAAAATGTAAATGAATGCCCATTAGGGTGGGTAATAGCTGATCATTAACTTTATATTTTATTAGATCTGCCAGCCTTACTCACTCTAATTAAAGGACAGTGATTTCTTTTTCTCCCCACAACATTACAAATGGACTCTTTCAAAGTTAGATGCACATATTTTTGTAACATAAATTCAGTGAGTTTTCTGTCTTTCTGCATAATTTTTTTCTAATTTACATTAGTAAATTTAATTAGCAGTCTTACAGAAGATTTTTATAATAGTTTAAGTAAATACACTCCTGATAATCTTATTTTCATATTTTAGAAAGGAAGGAAGACGCAGAGTGTTGCAATCTGTTAATGCATATGAAGGGAAAAAGCCTGAAAAAAGATCGATGAAAAGAAGCTAGTTGTATTCTCTTAAAATCCTAAAATTTTCTTCTTATTACTTTGAATCACTTTCTAAATCAATTAACCTATGTTGTTAACATTCTTTATGTACAGTAATACTTTACTTACAAGTTTCCATGCCTTCATCATCATCATCAGCTACAGGTTTATCATATGATTTGTCTATGGCAGCTCTGAAGCTTTCATTGCAGCCTCGTCCTCGGATAATTCGCGGGCGCGGGCGGTGGAAAGGAATATCACCATTCAGAGTCACCTCAGCAACGGCTGTCTGCAGACTTTCTAATGAGCTGGATTTCTTCAGACCTAATGAAGGCCCCACATCTCTGGTTGGGGAACCTTAGTGATTTAGGGGGTGGGGGGGGGTGGAAAAAAAAAAGTAATTAGAATTAGTATTGAGAACTGCATGCTTGATTATGCATATCCATCCTGAAAGTCTTTGGGGACACACTTAACATTATTCACATCATCTCTCAATAATCTGTAGGGAATTCTCCGCAGATTTGTTGGTCTCAGAAGTGAATGAGTATGTCAAGTCATAGCCAATGAAACCAACAACGTTAGCAACGTCTGGCTTTTCAAATCAGTGGAGAGAGACTAACATCCATTACTATTACTTTAAATAATTTGAATGATAAAGTAATCATGGGGCTTTAAAAACATAGCCTCATAAAAACAGATATACATATCTAATGGCATCAAACAAAACTATTAATTATTTTTGGTTTGAGCAGAAAATTTCATCTGTACTAGCAACTGATGAACAGAGAGCAGATTATGGGCATGAATCCTGTTGTGTTTAGAGTAACAGTCTTGCAAAGTAGCCTGACTTCTGGCTTCAAGGAACATGCTGTTTGCTTTTAATCGAGTTTTAAAGACTTGCATCAAATTGCTAACAATTTCATAATGAAATGCTTCTGAGAAGACTTGCTGTGATTTTGAGAAGTTGCTTAAAAATAATCTGGGGGAAGGACCCAATTAGTCAGGCAATACCAGTTACACAGCTGGAAAAGAAACACAATCCTGGCAGTTTCCACGTTGATGTTCGGGCAGCACTACGGCTGGGGCTGAGGGCAGCTCTTATCACTGCAGCATGTCCAGAGGTCTGCCAAGAAAGCCCCAGACGGTATTCTGCAAAAGCCTTCCCTCATCTGGACTTTTCTTCTCAAGTTTGTGCACTAAATGTCTAGCCTCTGTTTTTAGATACACACACTCACAGTGCAAATCAGCTGACAATTGCACAATTAGATCTCACAGTTAAAACTAAGAGAAATCTTTCAGGGGGAAAAAAAATCCCTGCATTTATTTGAAGTGATTTTATTCAGAAGTGCAGTATAGTCTTGGCCAGATTTTCCATAGGATTTGGGGTTGAAGTACAAGATGAGGCGGGACATCATGATAGCAGCTACATTTCCTGAAGTTATGAGATCAGGGCCCTCACATAGCATATGGAAACCTCACTTTTTCTGTACCCAAAGGGAGCAGAACAGAGGACAATGTTGTGGCACCACAGCAGTCCCAGGTGGTGGGCTGTTACCCAGCTGGTATCAGTATCCTCATCTGACAGAGGCACGGAAAGATAAATTTAAAAGCTAGTCAGCACTGAGACACAGAGACAAGAACTGAACTCTCAGGAATATCAAACCAATGAACAATACACTTGTAAGCGTGGTCTGGTGTGAATAATGCAATAAAGGAAAATTATCTTTTTTTAAAAGTATTTATCTCAGAATAATATAAAGCTCTGGAGTTGATCCCTATTCTGGTAGATACTAGGAGGGAGAAGAGAGACAGTATCTGTTATCGTTCTTTAATAAAGGTATGGGAAGTTACCTTAAATTGGGGAAAATTGCTACTACACTACTAAAGACAGCTTCTTTCACTATTCAGTATTGGGTGGGAAGGAAGGGGGCTGCTGGAACTACAAGAAAGGATGCAGAATAGCAGCATGGCAAGTATTCTCCATGTCGTTTGTTAACTTGGTATGAGATGGAGCAAGGCAGCGAACACTTTCATTTTCTATTCAGCTATTAAAAGTCTGAGCAATTACGTTAAACTGAAATCCCCTAGATCAAATAAATTTAAACAGCAGCTGTCACAGTACTCCCCTTCAGCTGCCCTACTGATAAGATGAGCTTGTAAACAGAAACAAAACAAAAATCCTCTTTCACAGGTCTACACAACTCCTGCAGTTTGCTTCCCTCAGCAGTCCGGAGTCCTGCTGCTTGGACCCTCGGCCAGAAATAAATACACTCCAACAAATGAGAAATTTTATCTTGATGAACTTGCATCTCCCAGAAGAAGCCACCCTCTCACTCACAGCCCATACTTGTTGGAGGGCTGAGGGTCATGAGGATGGCTGGGAGCACAGTGCAGCTGCTGGGGTGAAAAAGAGCAGCCAGCTGGGACAAGGGAGGTTTGGTGGTTTTCCAGCTGTGCAAACAAGCTGCAGTCCAGGTTCACCAACCTTCTGAACATGGGTTGAAGTTTAAGGAAAGTATTTTTAGATAACACTGTCTTTACCAAGTAAAAGAACTCCAATTTAGACACTGCCCTATATAACTGTCCACTTTCTAGCAGATGCCAAAATCTGCTATTCTTCCACTAATGCCTGCAGTACACAGGAAATCAGATTTATTTTTTTTTTTTTTTTTTTTTACTTTTCGAGATTGTATTTTGTTAAAAACAGTCCCACAAGACAGGAAAAATGAATGCAACATTTTGAAGGAAAAAAAAGGAAACGGGACAATCATATATAAACGAGCTGTTTGACAGACTCTGTTTCATATACAAAAGGAAAGGGTATCCTCTTACATGGCAACTTACTGTAAACTTCCTTATTCCAGATTCTGCTTTGCAACCTTCTAAATAAAATGCTCATATATCTTTTCCTAATTACTGAGTGGCTCTTTTTGTAAACAGTAATTATAAAGAAGGCATTTATGTGCCCATTTATGTTCATAAAGGACATTAAAAAAAAAAATCCATTTCCTGCCACCCAGTACAGATCTTTGTGAGAACTGTATTTATGTAAGTTGCGCTTTCCCAAAGGAAAAGCTAGATGGGATATGGTCTAATGTTCCTTGAGTACTGTAAAACTAGTAATGGATTACAGAAATTAGTGGAATATTTATTGAACTTGGGTGGCCATGAATACAAATGTGAACAGGTTGCAGAATCTGAAAGAGGGAAATGTCCTTTTGCAAGCAATTTAAACACTGTGATCATAAAGCTATGTATATTTTAATACCTTCACTATCTTCTATGGCCACTTCATAGCAAGTCTACTATTTTCAAAATATGTAATTAAGCCTCCCTGTAAATTGAGTGTGTTCAGAATTTATTACTAGAATTCACCAGCCAGGAAGTGAGTTGTTTACCCACAATCCGGTAAGAAACATCAAACTTTCTTTAAAATGGATTCTGTTTAAAATTTATGAGTCGCATCAAAACCTTGTTTTCTAAATACAAAAATGTCAGCATTTTCTTCCAGCCTTTAGAGCATTGGCGGTAATCATCAGAAATGTTATCTGCTCAGAATGAGTTCTACTTCTATTTTGACACCAGAATTTAAAGCAGAAAAAAAAAGAAGAGGAAAACACACATCTACCTGAAGCATCTTTATATGACTGAGGGATGAAAGGGATTCTTTTATCATTATTAAAATTTGACATTTATCAAAATTTTCCCTTCCCACAATTTTCTTAACAAATTTCCTTTGAGGTACAGCCAACCCTCCGTACCACAGCAGTCCTCCTACCACAACTGCCACCACATGCGCAGCCTCCTCGTACGCTCTGCTTACACACTCAGCCGTATGGCTCTACTTTACAGGCCACACACGCCATCCACCTCTCAAGGGCTTTGTAACATGCTCACATCACTGTGCCAAGCACAGCCCCTGCCCACCACACATGCATCACCACTCTCTATGTCCCCAGCTGGCCAGCTCTTGGGGACAATGGTCAAGCCTTGCCCTCCAGGCCATGCACCCACCCTCGCTCATGCACAGCTGTACTGGCAGCGTGTGCATCTGCTCTCACGCAGCACAGTAACTTCACAGCACACAGAGATCCAATGAGACATTTAATACACACACATTGTATGAAGCCTATGTGTTGCTCCCTGCTCCAAGCTCTTTGTTTTTCCCTCGTGCCGATGCTGTTTAAGAACTCATTGTGCTTCCACTTCTCTCATCTTATGTTAGTATTTATACAGTGCCACAAATCCGCTTGGGCGATTTGCAAAGGCAAAAAGCACAGTGTCAAAGGATACATGATGGTTCCTTCAGTGTTTCCTTCAGTGACTAATTTTAAAGGCTATCAAGTAAGTTTTTAATCAGCACTTTCTTTTAAATGATTTAAAAATGACAACTTTGTTTCTTTCTGAAACATTATTTTTATTAACGCTCAGGTTAAATGCTACCAGCAACTCATGCAAAAAACTTCCCTCCATTTCATTAAACCAGTTTTGCAAAGGCACAAAGTCTACTTTCTAAATACGTTCTTAAAGGACATCACCAGTGAGTCTATTTATTTACTAACACCTGCTCTATTAGAGTTGATAAATTCTTCTATTTCTAGTTCAAGTCATAGGCTAAAAGACTAACATGTTGGCTGGGGAGAGCAGGGAAGGAATACAGCAAGCAACTGAACCAAAAATAGTTGAGTTTTGGTTCACATCAATAAAACAGTGTAAAAATAAATAAATAAACAATTTAAATGTTCTTTGATTTTTTTTTTCCTTTCTTTTCATTTTCACAATGTATACATGGAAAAATAACCACCTAGAACTATAGCATGCCTGGGACTCAATAAATGAGCCATGCTCAATTGCTACTGAATATACTTCTAACCTCTAGGATGAACTGTAAACACTGCAAGGATTAGGCACTTTGAGTGAACTATAGAAAGAAAAATAATTAAAAATCTATTATAGTAACTAGAACTGGTGAGTTCTACACTCTCCTTTTCAGCCAACACTATTTAAGTCCAACTTTGACTGTAACAGAGTTTGCTTTTATTTTTTCTAAAGTAAATATATGCCAAAGGTTTCTGCCTTCTAGAGTTCATTAAAACATAGTTCACCACACATTTAAAGCATTTTTTTTTCTTAGAACTGGACAATTTTTAAGCCAAACTACAGTAAGTGGTTTGTTTAACAACCACATCCATCTTCAGTAATAGGAGAAATCCAGTGTTTATATACAAAACCTGGTTAAAAGCACACAAGATAAACAAAAGTACAGTAAAAGGTGTTTTTCCTTTTTTCCAGCCACTGAGCTTGCTGTGCACAAAATATGTAACTGCTTAGTCCAGATGGTTACAGTCATGCTCTTTCACCCAAGCTGTTTGACTTGTCTCTTTTTTGGAATTTAATCCAGGTGTTACACACAGAGAAAAACTATACTCGATTAATACCACCCTCTATTGATACCACCAAAAGGACTATGCACTTTTAAAACGTAAGCATCATATTTTACTAAACCACACAGGTTTTACACCATTCTAATCACATCCCATTCAAATAGGCAGGCTAATAAGAAAATGAAAAATAATTTACAATAATTTTGAGTTTGATCTGTAACTCCTTTTTCTGTGAATAATATTCAGGGGTGAAGGCAGTTCCTAAGCACTGATTAGAACCACAACCATTAACACAATTCATGCATTCACACTCTGATGGCTTTAATCCTTCAAAACATTCATACATTTTAATTTTGTGCACTCATTCGCAATTTGTAAAGCTGCAAGTCTGTGGCCATATTCTACAACGTTTTAAGAGCTAGAAGTTTTAGCTGTTTAAATAAAAATTGTAATTTTATCACTTGATTACTTACAGGTTTTCAGTATTCCTACTCATGTCATAAAGTGTGGTTAAACAGAGATGCAGTTGTGAATTACTAATTGTAAATTCTGTATGGAATGCCCTACTCCCCAAATCATGCTAAAAAAATTAATATTTTCAGGTTAAAAAGGTGAATTGTTCCTAATTAGAGCTAAGTAATGTTACGGTGTCCTCTGGATCTAGCCTAATTAAAATAGCATTCCAAAGGTCAAAAGCTAACTTATATTAATAAATCATAAAGGTTCATAATTGCAGTTGGTGCATTATTTTAATTACTAATAAAAAATAAGCTTTGAAAGCTATTTCTCATTATCATTGTGTGAAACGTTACAATTGATGGTATGTGGAAAAGATTCTATTTACATATTCTTTTGTTCTGTTATGATGCTCAGGTTTCAGCTCCAAAGGCAAATCAACTTGCACAAATAATCTTCAATTCAACTCACAACACGTATCTGATGACCACTTACAGCAAAAGTAGCAGTTTTCTAATTAAAATAAATATTGCTAAGCACTGTGTTAGCACTGTAATAGTCAAACATTTGACTCCTCTACATCATCTCTCTGCACATTAGAGTTTGAAGCTAGGAGAAGATTTTCCAAGATTTTTTGAAAGGACAAAAAATCCAAACAACTGTGAATATTTGTGAGTTCGAAGTGTAGCAACAGGTGTCTGCCTACAGTCACATGTACGATCTGGTTGAATATACTACCCTAGATACTTATCTCTATAAAGAATTTTCTTTTTCCGTACAACTTGATTATTCACAACAATAGAAAGCAGCCATGCAAGTACTGGAATATTCATGTCTTCATGCAATTTGACTGGCAGTTCTGTAATTGTGGTAAGCTGCTTTGACCAAGGTTTCTATAGCAACAGCCTTACTGTCAATTCTTACCTGTTTTCTGGTCATCCATTGTACTGAGCTTAGTCTCGTCAGCTACTGTTAAAAGGTAAATGTATAACGGTTAGCCCAGTTAGTGCCCATGCCCCACATGCATCCAACATTCCTTCTGTTTTGCATATTTTTTTTCAAGTTAGGGGACCTTAGCAATGTCATACTTCATGCAAATAAACTGCAACAGTAAGCAAACATTCTGGGCAGAAATGGCAGCAAACTAGTAACCTTCATGCAATGTCAGTCATGTTCACATCACAGGCAGGTACAATATGTTATTTACACGTTAGCACATCACAACTAGTCAAGACAAGTCAATACCACCAACCTTACCGTTCCCTGAGGAAGTTGGTGAATTAGGGATTGTAGTTAAGATATTCACAATTATTGTCAAGAAGTGGATCGTATTACATCTTATTATTCTGAGTACGGAATTTTGTGTGTTTAAACAACCAAAATTCACTGTTTAAGGTTACTAGAGTCCGCATTTCAGATTCTCAATTCAATGGCACAAAAATAGATGGGCTTGTTAGCGATTACTTATTCTTGGTTGTTTTATCAGTTAAAATTATTATAGTCGATTGCCTGTCTTAGCCACTGTTCCTTTATAGGGCTTCTGATACAAATATTAAAACTTGGATCTCAAACATATCTCAGACCAGCCCAGTTTTCTAATTCTGAATGAACTCTTCAAAAATAATACTCGCATCTTTAATATCTTAATCAAAATCCATCTACAAAATGAGACACTACGAAGGATCTTTAAGGTTAATTGCATTCTAATCATGAACCGAGAATAATCCTGTCTACTCAGAACCACAGTGTAGTACAGTTTTACACAGTTACTCTATACGGATTGGTAAAAGCACTTTTCACCTCCATCTTAATAAATACTTCTAATGTTTATGCATAACCATATACCAGAGGGCTACGATATTTAAATGTATGGACATTTACAAGTGGTACAAACAACACACAGGCCACTTGGCCATTCACGTTAAAAATACTTTACTTCCCACCAGTAGATATTACATGCAGTAGTACTGCACATAAACAATGTGTTTGGAATTACAAAATCTTTCTACTTACAACATGAAAATCAAAAAAAAATAAAACATTTGAAAAAATATCACTCACTACCTAGATCCATGCTTTTGGATTTTCGTGTTTTAACAAACTCCAACTGACTGGCATCTGAAAATTGCTTTGTACGCTTTTCTGACATGCTCTGGCGTCCAAAACCCTCTCGCTGGAAGGCAAGCACTGGATCAACATCTGGACTAAGAGTGCTGTAGGGAGGGAAAAAAAAATCATGCGAACATTTATCAAGATCACGCAACCTTTCACTCTGCAGAGAAAAGCATTTGTTTAGCACGTGACTGCTACCAACGATAAAGTGTACATTTTTAAATAAACCCCTGCAAGTAGTCAGTTACACACACGATGGATTTGTTTTACTGCATCAAGCAATTCTAGTTAAAAAGTATCAAGAATTTCACTTATGAGCTTTAATGAAAGATACACAGATATACATATCTGGTGCACTATACGCATACTATCAGAATGTACAGCCCCAACACAGGAATAACTTGAGGGAGAATAAAACATTTCCTTTTTCTTCATGAGAAACAAATATATTCTGTTGATAGCAAATTATCAGATTTTCCTTCATCACAACATGTTTTGGGTAAATCATAAATAGAATCTGTCCAGCCTGAAGTCCGCAGAACTTTAAACTTCATTTAAAGACTTTGCATTAAAATTGCTCTCCATATGTGAAATCACTTGTAAATTTTTCACAGCATCTCCTGGTTTTAACCTGGCTATGACAGACAAACATATTTTTACTCATTACTTCCCTACAGAGCAAGTATTCACCACAGTGGTTCTACCACTATATCAGAAATGGGGGTAACTGGACTGAGGTTCGATCTCTTCTGCAGGTTTCTTGCATGAGCTCAGCTGAGTTAGTCAGGTCTTCAACAAGCAGTGATTGGCATTTCACCATGCTTCATCAGAAACATGCTGAAGATAGATTTATTAATGTCGGTCCAACGTTGGCAGAATCCTGAATGCAAGAATGCAGGCAAAACTTGGTATGCAAGCTAAACCCTAGGCTTGTAATGTGTCACCATGGCCACAACGCATGTTAAAATCAATAAAAAATAAAATAAATTGCAAGATTGCTTATTGCTAATAAACAATATGAAAGGAAATTCACACAAAGATCTTCTGACTCCTGTAAAAGGGGACAGTATTAAAAAGAGCCTGAAGGCCAGCCCAAAGAATTTAGATTTCTACTTCAGCTGGCACAAAAAGAAATCAAAAGCATAAAATACTGAAAACATGAGTATTTTGCACCATTGTTATCTATCCTGTAAGAAAAAGATCCCTCAAAATCCCCCCATTGCTTGTTGTTGTACTTCAAGATAAAAAAAGCTAAATATTTTGTCACTGAGATCTCTAAATAGACTAAATGCCACTTAAAATATTGTATACATACGTGTTACTGTTCAGTAACATATTTCAAAAGAATTATTTTCTACTTTAAGGGTGAAGTATAATACACATCTCATACCAAGTGAGAAACAGGCAAATAGTGAATTTCTGCAGAAACCAACTTATACTTTTAAATTCTGTAACATGCATATGTTTATGTGTGCTGTGTACTATAATCTATAGAAGCATCTTTGATCAAGAAACACTCGAGTACTAGGCACAACAGTGAAGAGAGGTAAGGAAAAGTGTCTAAAGGCATCAAGTACTACAAAGGATGAAAATTACTATCTGCATTATCAGGCAGCCTAGAAGAAATTCAGTCTAGTCGTGGTAGATTTTCAAATAATAAGATATGTGCATGTGACAAGCGTATAATACGTAAGTGAGAGCAGGATCAGAGCTTATATGAATAAAGTCAATGTCAAGTGCCTTTTGACTTTAATGTTTCTGGCTCAGCATCATAATGTTTTACATTTAATTACTGCAACTATTTCAGAGATGTCTGCACAATCTAGCAATGTTTTGAAGCATATGCTTAAAAGATCTGATGAATCAGAGTCCAAACTCAAAAATAACTATTTAGTCCTCACATTCACGCCCACAAAATAGGGAAAAAATTATCTCCACATGATAGAAAGATAAAACGGACAAGGCCAATATACACTTCTAGCATTTACAGCAGCCCAACACGTAGCTGAGTAAGAACTACCTAAGCCTGAAAACGTCCTCAGAGTGACTCAACTGAACTTACAGGGTTTCAGCCCCTTTCATAATCAGATCATAAATGACTTTCCCAAGGCCACACAGGAGTTTCTGGCTCACTGCTAGTCAGCCCTGTCTGAAGGCCAGAAAAATGTGGTTTGACTAAGTGAGAATTTTCTTCGGCAACATCTGTTAACACAGCTCACGTTAGTTAAAGATGACCAGCTTCATCTTGCTGAACAAAATGTATCCTGTAACACGTTTTTCAAAAAGGGTGAATTTCTAAAACTATTTGTTTTGGCTTTATGCTCCTTTTTTCATATGAGCTTGCTTTGATCCACATGTATAAAGCTTCTAATAAAGTTGAATATAATTTTCATGTAAAAACAGCATGCACATATATAGTCAATTTGAAGTCCTAAGAACAAACTAAAACTCCAAAGTTAAATAGAACTGGAAAAGGGCACTGCAGGTCCCAGAGAGAGCAGTGGGGTCTGGACACAGCGTCAGCAACTGGGAACTCTGGAGACTGGATCCCAGCATTTCCACTGACACCGCCTTTAGGGGCTTTTTCTCTGCTTCCCCTACTTTCCCTTCTCACACCTACCTTCCACACACACTTATTAGGGGGGATTATTACTCCATGTTTGCATATTATCCTGCATACTATAGGTGCTACTTAGCACCAAAAATTACTTGCTCTCTGACATCATGACATCTCATACATTTTTACACTACAAATATCTGAGTCCTATGTAGAGTCACCAGTTTTCATGCCCTAGTTTATTTCTATTATTAATGACCAATGAGTGTGTTTCAGTAATTAAGGAAGACGATCACAGGAGTTTGAATGCATGTACATTGCCTAAAAGTATTCAAAAGCCCTTGTGAAGATCCACAACTGGAAAAGCCAATGAGCACAGAGGAGGAACTAATGCCCCCCAAAATGACTCATTTTAATATTTTTCAACTACGTTAATAAAAGACAGAAGGTGAATTTAGTGCAAGTCATTAAGCAATGCCAAATGCAATTTACTATATTCTAGCATACTTAACAAATAAGATTTCTGGAATGACAGCTGATCCTTAAAAGAATGTAACCGTCTTCTGACCCTCGATGTTATTAAAATTCCACTTATTAATCCTGTCTTATTGCCCCTTTGTTTTCATAACATTTTCATCAAGGATTAGGGAGATATTGTGAGGCTGGAAAAGCTTACATTTTCTTCTGTGATTCAGAACAGCTGCCATTCTTGTTTGGATAACCCTTCATCCATATTCTTAGTTTTACCCTTTGCGCCTTCCAGCAAAATCATACAATGCACCTTCGGTTTACAAGTCTTCCTTCATCCATTAGTGGCAGGAAATTAATGCAACAATCTAATTCTACTGCTATTTACTTTTTCACAAATAGAATACATTAGATAGTAAGGCGTTGCACTGATTTACTCCTTCAAGTGCAATTGTATCTGAAGACCCTTACAATTTCTCATACACAAGTTTAAAGGTTTTGAGCATGATGAATTCCACAATATCTAATCCCTATTTTCTTTACTGTTACTTTTATTTTCAAAGAAGTATATGAATAGCAAGATATGCTGCAGAAGTAAATGTAAAAGCATCTGCAGGTTTCAAATGGGTTCTTACTTTATGCTGTACGTTTTTGTTCATATTTGGCTAAAAAAAATCCCTCAGCAATAAGCTATTATGTGCAGCCCTGAGTACTATTCTATTTAAACTTCTCAGATTCTCAGCTCTAAAAGTTTTATAAAAGACTGATGAACTTTTCAAGGACCCAAATTACAGGTATGACTTGTCCAAGAGAAGAGCTGCAACATTAAAAAAACCCACACAGATAACGATACAAAAATTACCTTTTCATACAATCATTAAAACAATGCTTAAAATACAGAACTCAATTCCTGGACATAAGATGAAACAAACTAATATAAAGCAAAGAAGAAGCTGACAGGTGCATATCAGCTGGCAGGTGCTATTGCTGTTTTATTAAGATACTGCTGATACACTCATAACAAGCTCAAGAGACAAGAAAAATAAGAAAATTCATATACTTCACACCATTTGTGGTAATTATCTAGCTTCAAGAAGCGGCAGTGTACAGGGGGTGGGCTTTTATTTTGCTATTACTATAGCTAATTACAGGACTTGTAAATTAAACTTTAGATCTGTATTAATTGTACTAACTAAGCAATAAACAGTATTTCTTTGCCAGGAATCTAAGCAAGTCAATAATGGAGCTCAATGCAATTCTGATTAAGACTCTCATATTAAAATGTATAAAAGTAATTAGAGAGTCAACCTAAGATTCATAGAAACTATTTTTACTATAGATTGAACATATAAAGTTACTTTCCATAGTTTTAAACGTGGAACTATTACTTTCCATATTTTTAAATTTAGAGCTATTACAGTACACTGCCTTTGCATGATAGTTACAAATCATATAATGATAAGACAGGTATTTCTTCATGAATAATAATGAAATCTTAACTAGTTCTTGTTGCACAAGCATTAATACTAAGGCAAAACAAAGAGCTGCCCTGGTCTCTAAGCAGATTTTAAAATTACTGCACATTATCAGGAAAACCAAGAAAGTATGCGGAAGTATTGAAAGGCTCCTAGATATATGCTGGAATATAAAGTTAAATCTTGATTTTATAGACTTAGAAACATTTACAATGAGGTTTATGAATTAAAATTTTAAATTGCAATTATTCTTTAATCTCTCATAAACTCAAGCGTTAAAATTTTGCAAAGTTTTTTTTTTTTTTTTACAAAATCTAGCTCTATCGGCAACTAAATTAATATTAAATCATCAAATTAACACAGCTATATACTGATTTGGTCTTAATAAAAATTAGTAACACTTCCACAAATGTGCTTTGACAGAGCACAAAACTGCAACCAGAAGTAGAAAGTCTGACAAATTATCTGTACAGACTTCCTTCCTGAAACAGAGACAATTACCAGTTTGAAAACAGTGAAATCTAAACGTGATGAAAAAAAACAAGATTAATATTAGCAGTAGCCAAAAATTAAACTGAAGGAAAAGACATAACTGAAGTCATCTCTTTTTTCTTTCCACTAAACCATGCTCTTACCAATCTGTTGACTCATTAATTGCAGCTTTAGCCCATCCACCAGCATCAACAGTGCCAAACCCAACATCATCGTGGGAACTGGATGACGACTGGTCAGAGAGATGGGGAGGGAGGACTGACAGCCTGTCATCTTCAATAATGACAGTGTCATCTTGGGGCATGTTCACCGTTGGAGACAGCTGGTATTTACCTGAATAACAAAAGGGAGGAAAAAACCCAAAAAACTAAATAATGGCAGAGAGTGTCTTGCATAATATATAATCACAGCTGATAAAATGTCATGTCAAACTGCAGTAGTACTGATAAGAGTGACACAACACAGATAATAAAATTAACTATGCCTCACTTTATACACATCTTCCTACACAGAGGTCTGAAAAGTAATATACACCAGTTGTATCTGCAGGCTACTGCAAGATCACAGAATCACTGAAGGGTTAAGGTTGGAAGGGACCTCTCATCTGCTCCAACTCGCTTGGCTCAAGCAGGGACACCCACAGCCAGTTGTCCAGGACACAGACCAAATGGCTTTTGAATATTTCTACTCCACCACATCCCTGGGTAACCTGTGCCAGTTCTCAGTCACTCTCACAGTGAAAAAGCATTTCCTGATGTTCACAGGGAACCTCCTGAGTTTCCATCTGTGCCCATTGTCTCAGGTCCTGTCATCGCTAGGAACCACTGAAAAGCACCAGTCCCAGAAGATAGTATCTTCTCTCGCATCAAATCGTTTGGTAGAAATGAAGAATGAGTTCAGTGGGGACTAACAGAGCTCATCATTTCTCCTGATCAGTCTTGCTCTCATGAAATTTGAAACTTGTTTGACTGCTACTGGGAACTCGGAACTCTTTAATAATGCTTTCACAAAGGTAAGAATTGTGAAAAGTGATGAGAACTCATGGCTAAAGCTAAGCAGTTCCAAATTTTCATTCTCTCCTTTAAAACATAATCTAGAGGCACACATGCAAAATTTGGGAAAAAAAAAAAAACAAAAACAAAACCAAAAACTATTACCACCAAACTCAAGTAAGTTTTAACATTGTTGTTAAAATGTTTAAAAGAGAGTCATCACATACGTGATAGAGACATAATAAAGACTCAACGTTATTCTTTGTTCAGTAGCAGACTTCATTGGGTTAATTCCTTAGAGTAGCAGTTAAAAGACGATATTTACAGGCTTCTTACAAAGTAGTAAAGCACTGTTTCCAAGTAAAAACCAGTTTTAATGTGCATACAAATATTATAAACCCACTACCACTGCTGCTTTTATAGGGATAAATACATATACATAATTATATTTTCCAGCAATCATTTCAATACATAAGATTGTATAAGAGTTTTGAAACTGCTGTATAAAAAGAAGCAACTTTTAACTTTTAAACCTATAGAAAACTTTATGCCACCAAAACAGATTAAAAAGCTATAAAGAATATCAGAAGGACTATTTTCACTGCAATGCTTTGTAACATAACTATGGTTTAAACAGAAAAGATCTGTTTTTCAGGATATATGCATGAGACACAGAGATGGGATGATAGGGGTTAGATAATATTATTTGGATGACAGTGGAAATATAGAATTATCACCATTTAAAATTTTAACTTGGAATAAACAGAGGTTATTTCAGTATCTAGAAACACTAAGATAAAACTTCCTCTAAGGAAAAGAAACATTTGCAAATTTGGATGAAACTTATTTAGTTATCTGAAGCAATGGCTAATTATTAAGTGTGATTCTTTCATATTAGCAGTATATCATTTTTTATATGATAGAATATCTTTAAATTTTTTTTTTCCTCCTGGATATTGATGCTTGACTTAAAAAGATCTGTCATTTAAAATGTTTGGTCCTAACTCTCACTACACACAACATTATTTCTAATGAATTATCATGACATTACAAGAATTTTATTCCTGGAAATATATTGTCTTACTAAAACAATTAATAAAATTGTCACATCTTGTGAGAAGAAACACACTAGGTTAATCAGCCATTACTCTGACAACAAACTGTAAATTATTCTAAAACTACGATGCACCGCAGTAATAACATATCACAAAACTTATATTTCCATAACATAAACTGGTCCTATGGACACATCAAATATTTTCACACTTTATTCTTCCTACAGATATGGAATAATTGTGCAGAATTAGGGGAAAAGATTTTTTTCCTCTCTTCTGGAAAGGTTTTAGTTACCATCACTACCTTAGCATGCAATTATTAACAAACAAACAAACAAACCCTTATGCGTAAAGAGCTAGCTAAAATCATCGCTGCACTAGATAATACATTTTGTACAGCCTTCCAAAGCAGGGGAAAACTGGCTTCAAAAGAGATCATTAAAGAAGGCTGAGGAAGTGGCTGGGAGAAAAAGGTACTGTATGGTGACATCTCGTCACTGTCAAACTGAAATGAATGTGTTCAGTTTGCATAACAGCTGATTTTTTGCCCAGCAATAGCTTCTTTGACGGACAGGTTAATGTTTAGCCTGGTAATGTACTTCTTTCCAAACATAATGCCTACAAGACTGTTAACTCTGTAGTTAATAACGTCTCCAAAGAATTGATTGTGAAATGCTATAACCTTATGGTATTCGGTAGATTGAACTTCCCATTTGAGAGGCTACAGTAATTCAGTAACATTTTTAACTTTTCACTACCCTTCTTTATATCTGACAAGGGTGAAGACTGACATTTTAATAGTTGCTTTGGAATTAAGGAGAAAACCCATCTGACATGCCTATGCTTTTCACTGCAGATGAAGCTAAAAACAGGTGAAAGGCTTCACCTCCAGCAGATGGTTAGACACACCTCAGCAATGGACTCAATACCTCCTTTGTAGAGAGATCAGTTGAAGCGGACAGAAAATACCCTTGGAGAAAGCAACTCTGCAAGTGTTGTGAGAAACATTACACAGAAACATCAAAGAAACTTCAAACCTAGTAATCATCAGTATATTTGACTGATCTACAAATCTAAGACATTGCTCGAGCTGTCTACAAAGCTCTCCAAGACAATAATTTTCCCTCGGGCTAGAAAAGTGCTATAAAATTTAGACTCTGAATACACTTCAAGTCCAGTTCTGCATATATTAATTCAACTTCAGCGAGGTAATCTGTAATAGTATTAAGTATTTTGGATGGTGTAATAAGGAAGGGAAAACATTCTCACTTTCAAGCGTGTCTCATCTCAGGACAATAAGGTTCAAATTTCTTCAACAAGTTACCAATCTAAACAAGCATAGCCTGAGGACCATACCAAGCTGTGGGGTAAGAAGAGTTCCCATCTGTCTGTGCAGAAAAAGAAGTCTCAGAGTTCCAATACCAAATGGCTGGTCTCCAGGTCTATGAGGACTTTCAGCTTAGAAGGAAAAATGTGCCAAACAGCAACACTTCAAACCTATGACAGTATAGACCTATAATAGACCAGAAAATAGTTTGGACCTCAATTGAACCACCAACATCAAGCGCCCCCAAAAACCCCTGAGCACACACAGTACATAAAATGAATAACAGGCTTACTCATGAAGATCTCAACTACTTTAGGTCCTCTTAAATCTTTGAAATCACAGAAGTTTGGTTAATCTGTTTGCTGTGATAACTTGGCTCCCATACTACACTGCATTATCATCGTACTGTATCTGGCTTGGTTCTTGCGTTTTTGCTATTGCTTTCTCTTTAAAGGAAGATCTAAGAAATATGTTGAACACCCTTACAATACGTTCAAAACCAATATTACTTTATGACTGACTGTTGTGAGCATTTTGATATCATAGGATTCAGACCAATGGTACACTTCAATCCTCTTCCACAAGTAGAGGCCCTTTCTCGCTGTGACATGGCAAGTGATTCTTAAAATGCCTGACCAAGAAATCAGCAACAGTCACTCTGTAATGAAGTATTAACCAAAGTAATAAACAGAGTAATAAATAATAGAAATAATAATAAAATAGTGATGATGATGACGATAATAATAATGATGAGACTTCCTACAGGAGGGATATAGAGAATTTTGCATTGAGAAATTAGAACTTCTCCAGATCTTCATTTTTTATTTTTCACTAACAGCATATTTGTCCCCAGCAATACACTGAGTTTTGGCAAAATTTCCCATCAATACTTGTATCATCTAATTTTCCAAGCTAAATAGACTGGAATTGGGAATAAAAGTCTGGGGAACATCTAAGGACAAAATGTCTCCACTATATCGAGTCTTTGGATTTCAAGAGAGGGCTCAGATCTGTCGACTATTGTAGCAGACCACCACTCTCCGATGAGATTCCTGGCCAGGGAACTGCCTTCTGCTTGTAAAGGGTTATTTTCCTTTCATCAACACATACACTCTACATCTCTAGCTAAATTTTTTTCAGTAGTGCTTCCTCCCGATTCTATCCTTAAGATAGCAATTATTTATGTAGAGAACAAAGTATTTCCTGTTGTGTAGGAACTATCAAATTTTATGAAGTTCTGGGGGATCCTTCAGGATGAAAAGCAAATTCAGCACAAGCTATCGTTATTCTGTGTACCCTCGATAAATAGCTTCTGTTTAGTCACTGTTAGCAACAAAACCCACCATGTTCATAAAAAAAAAATCAGCAACTAGAAGAAAGAGATGAAACAGGACTTTGTACTAAGCTGTTTGTTCAATAAGAATAATTTATATAGACAGCAGCTATGTATTTGTGTATTGCAAAACTCAGGAGCATAATGGATGATATATAAGAACTGCATATTGGAAGAAGAGACTTGAATTTTAAATCATAGAGCCAAGCAAACCAGCATAACACAGCTGTTATTTTGAATGTACTAACAACATGAAACCTGGAAATATTAAAAATAAATACATAAACATAAGGGTTTATTATATCTATCTAATTCTTAAAAGTCCCAATTTGTACCAATAAAAAAAAGCCTCATCAAAAACAAAAATATCATTCCCTGAATACAGAAAGCAGTATCTCCTCTCAATCAGAAATTTTCAGTGAAATATTATCAAGTGAAAAAGCATATGAAAATCTATAATACCAATAATCATCTACAAAAGTAGATCAACATAACAATTATCAGAAACATTAAAAAATTCATGTAGCCTTTTTGGAGTAAGAAAACATTATTTTACATCATTTAAATCACATTCTAAAATTGGTATTTTATTCCCACTCTCACCGCAAGGCTCTGTCAACCAGTTCCTGCTGTCAGTTATGGATTGAAAGAGTAAGGAAATTGTCTTAAATATCTTTCCTGAAAATTACATTGGATGTATTTAAAAGAAACAAAACTGTCTTAAATGTTTTGTTCCAACTTTAAGCAATGACTGAAAAGAGCAGGCATTTTCCAGACCCTGAGATTATCACTTTTGAATAGTCTAACTTAGGAAGAAAGAAAACTCAAAATCCATCAATTTTATCTAATAGCAAAAGAAGCAGAAAGACCTACTCCTTCACACATGAAATCAAACCGTGGCCTCCTTAGCACAAGGTACTAAGAGTACTACAAATTTACATAGTTAAATCCATTGAGGGGTAAATAAAAAGACATCGGGTGATTCTGAGAGCCCGTAAGTCAGAGGGTTCCTGCACATGGGGAGAACTCTCAAGGGAATCAGCACTGCATAAAGCACTCCTTTTGGCTTGTTTTCATGCTCAGGACCGGCATGGGAAGGTACAGACCTCCAGTCTTCCTCAGCAAGATTGTTCTTAGGACTAATCCTTGCTTTTAGCCCAGTTTTCAAGAGAGGAGGAACACTCTGGAAGAGGCATGTAATACCACACACACATTCTCAAGAAAATAAAAAAACTTCTGAGTTTTTTTCTCATTATCAATGCTACCAGGACAGGAATTCCACTGCATAATAAATGATTGCGTCTTACAAATATTAGCTACTCTGAACCAAGCAACTGTACCTATCTCTCCCAACAGGCAATAATACCTCTCTGTCGTACAGCACTGCATGCAATAATATCACAAAAGACTATAAACACTACAGTTTTAACTTAGTGGTACTGATTAATTCAGAAAAATTAGCACATTAGAAAACTGACTGCTTCCTAAAAACTGGATTTAAACATGACAGCTCTGTGAAGCTGCTGTGATTGCAAAAGGGAATGACCCAATCCTGGCAAGACCAGTTTTCAGTTATGCTGGATTAGATCACATTTACTATGAGGTTCAGGCACAACTTAATTTTCTGTGCGCTTCCAACTAAAGTATCAATGGATTTAAGTCACAACCAACCAATTTTCTACATAGTTCCTGGTTTCTGAAAACAATACAGAAAAATGACAATTCAAAGGAAATCAAAACATCAATTTCAGGTTATAATATCCTAAACAAAATGCAGGATGGATTTTTTTTCCCTATGTCTACATTGCAGAGGTATCCAAAAGTATTGTATTTTAAGAGCCTTGGAAAGATTTTTTTTCTTTTTTTGAAACACCAGTTAGTGACTACTGCTAAAAGGTTGATATCAGACTGATGAACTACAAGTTCTATTTGGCGTGGCAAGTCCTGTGCTCCTCTGATGTGGAAGTAACCTGCATTGCTGACACAGTGCACACAGACTCTCTCAGGGTTTCTTCTCCCATCACTGGACAAGGTGTTTAAGCGATAACTCGTTAACGCTTATATGAGCTCTATGCGTAAATCCTCTGCAACACTGATGGAAAAAGCAGAAGGTAGTGCTCTGCAAATGTTTTATCTAAAGCCCTGACATCACAAGAACTAGTCCCTTCTATGGGATAATAGTGCCAAAGACTTCAAATTATTTTATCACTCTTTAAATTTGTCAACAAATAAATAGGTTTTTTAAATTGTTCTCTTAAAGAGCGTATGACTTCGGGTGAAAAGGTTTCATGCTTCCTTGATTCTCAGGTATACAATTTCTCTTCCAAGCTGTACAAAATGTAATGCAATAGAACAGAATATGATTTAGTTCTAATTACTCTTGCTCAAATGCACAAAAAAAAAAAAGACTTAACTGAAGAAATATCTTGAATAGCAAAGCTACAGATTTTCAGAGAGTTTAACAACAGTGTTATTACGCTACCACAAAGAAAAAGCAAACCCTAAAATACAAAAATTAAAGAAAAAAAAAAACCAACTAACAACCCCAAAACAGAGCGAAATATATATATAAACTGGTGACTGGAAAAAGCCTAAGTGGTTGACTTTCATTTTCTGAGGCTGAAAATCAATCTGAAGCAATTAAAAACTAAGTTCAGCCTTGCTCCGTATCAAGTTTATATCACCATCTTCTAATATATTCTCTGTGTGTCAAGGACACTAAAAAAAGTCCCAGATTTAATGGTCACATCTTATGTTTAAAACTTGCAACTCAAGCAAGCAATCGTCGCGTCTTCTGTCAGGTGCTATTAAATTTGAAAATCCTTTCAAACTAATTCCATCCTAGTCGGTAAATCCGACTGTTCCTGTGGCAAGGCAAGCCTTTATTACCTAGCTCTGTACAACGGAAGCTGAATTGATGCAGAGCAACCACTAATAACCTCATTATCCACCGGGGCCATGCAGATGGTATGGCACAGACTCTACACAAGGGATGCTTAAAATTAGTTATGAGGTTTTAAAATTGGTGTCCTGCAAAGCAAAAATTCAAACAAATTAATGAAATGCCCTAATAAGCATAAATGGATGCAAGTTTCCCTTATTTATTTTTGTACTTTAGTACGACTGAAACAGAGGAGAAGAAATGCTGAAATTAATTATAAATTCCCATGAGTCACCGACTTTCATGCAAATGAAGACTCAACACAGAGACTAGACCAACCAATAATTTATTTTCCAAGATCAGACACTGAAAAACCACGTTAAATGCTCCTGTTATTTGCTCTGTTACCTGCCACGGGACAGGAAATTCACTTTATAATTCCATTTGACTGACTTTCTCACATTAACTATCCAGAAGGCTTCCACAGAACAATTTTAAGGCACATTTTAAGTTGGTCAGTGCAACCTCCATGTTCCCTGATTCCCACATAACACATTAATCACTCTTCAATGAATCACAGAGAGAAATAAAAACATGCCCCGATTAGCAGAGCTGATTTGACTCACCCATTATCCTATTCAGCGCTGCGTTCCTTGTGGGCGACTCGCTGAGACCCTCGATCCCGCCGTAGAGGGAGTGGGAAATCCTCCGTTCGCGGTCGTCCAGCAGAGTCTCTATGGGCAGCTCTGGCCCAGAGGGGCTCCCAGGTGACTCCAGCTACACAGAGAGACGAAAATTAGCGCCCAGGGTCCATTTAGCAGCATGAGAGAACTGTAACAACTTGCCTAAGGCCTAGATCTGTCTGGGCATCAAATGAGCTAGAACTTCTCACCCTGGACAAATATAATTTGCAATGACAGCTCTGCTTAATGACCAACTTTCTAAGCCACTTTACACTGCACCTTCCGTGGTACCCTGTCAAATTTCAAATCCTTCAGCAGAAAATTGGTGAAAAAAAAATTGCATTTTGGTGTCTCTTTGTTGGATAATTTCTTAGACAGTTTTGGGTTTTTTCAATACTATCAGGCAGACAGCTGGGCCATCTTTCCCACACTGACAGCCTGTCAGAACAAGGCCCCTGTCAGGAGCGTGGAGCAGGAACCCCATTTGGAACTGGGCTGCTGGTGCTTTTTGAAGTGGTGCAATTTGCTTTCAAATGTAATCATCATGGAAACCTACAGGAAACCCCACCACACATATTAGTAACAAATACGCAAACACTCAAATATTTTGTAGTTAGGAGGGAAAGGGAAGAAAAAAAAAAAAATCAGACTTCACAGTAACATTTATTTTTATTTTTATTTTCTACTTATGATGAGTTCTTTGCTCTGCCTTTCCTGGTTGCAGGGTACAGAGACCTCGTGGGTTTCCTTCAGTCTGGAAGCTTCCCTGATCCCTGGCACTGCTGAAAATCCAGGCAGAGCCACAAAACCCAGAACTGGCAAGACCCGAGGTGCACCCCCGACCCCAGCCCTCAATCCTTGGAGCTGCCGACTCCCTGCCCACCACGACCCCAGGCAGACCTCCCAGGGGCATTAGAAGAGAGATGAAGTAGGCGGTGGAAGAAGTGATGGAGGTGGGTTGCTTGGCCACATGCACAGGAGAGAAGACTGCATGTACAACCATCTTCCCACCCCAGCTGCTCTCTGTCAGAAGGCTCTCCTGAGTGACTTCCCAGCTCAGCCTTTGTTTGCAGAAGCTGGTCATCCTTTGTTTTCCTGCATATGTCTCCCAGATTTTTCAAACAGAGAGGAAAAAGTTGAGTTTTCATCAGTGAGCCCCAGAGCTCAGTGTAAAGCAGTGTCCATGCGAGGCAAAGAAAGAAAACAATTTGATATTGTTTAGTTGGGTTTAGCCACCTCAGTAGCCACAGGCAGCTCCGCTGCCAAGGCAGCCCCTGGAAGCAAGGAGAACAGGCACCCATGCGCTCACTGGTTAGTTCAGATGCCCAATCTCTCACTGCAGACAAGAGACAACCCCCCCTGCCCATCACACAGTCCTCACACCATCCAGCCTTCCTGCCCCAAAAGCTCTTGGTCCACCTGAGCTCTAGCACCTTGCTGGCTACTCGGTAATGCTACCAAAGGAGCTTCACTGAGACCATTAAACAAATTCACCTAAACAGCGTAAACTGATTCCAGCTCTATTAAAAAAAATAAACAGATATTAAAAAATATATGTGTTTTGCAGGGTAATAATATGAACTCACATCAAAGCATTAGCTGTTCTCACGAACACATCTCTTCATATCGAAGTGTATAGTTAAATCTCAAGAACAATGTCCTTACACAAATCCCACAGCATGCATTTTCTATGTACTGAAATACAGTGGGGACCAGATACTTCAAGATACTGAGCATGCTGCAAACTCTTTGAAGCCACCTGGAACTGAGAACACTTATTCCAAGGACTGGTCTCTAAACGTGCACAAGAGGAGTAATTCACAGTTTCAGAAATTAGAGTAACAAGCAACATGTTTGTTGGTTGTTTTTTCTTCTTGAAACAGCTGCCCATTATTAATCACTCCACCCGCAATCCCCAGATGACTAAGAAATGTATTCTACAAAATATTTTTTAAAATCTGCTTGAAGCACTCAGCTACGGTCTCCACAGCAGAGGCTTTGAAGTCAGCCTGATGGACTAATGACTTCTGACATTTGGGTGCTGGCATAACGCCCAGTACACGGAGGGGTGGAGGTTTGCGAAACGCCACATTACAAAGTCGAGGAGACCACAATCAGGAGGTCGCAGAGTCTGTAAAAATTATTATTTCTGTTCAAAGCCATCATCTGTTTAATATAAATGAGATATTTAATGAAGTTCCAAATTGTAGACTTATCTCTCCCAGTTTGATAAGCACTGGGGAGATTTACTGCATTGGAGGGTCAACACAATTACAATTGGAGGCACGTCAAGCTGCAGGAGAATAATAAACTTGCAGTGGAAGTGAATTAGACTCAATAAGGTTTAAATTGTGAAATGAGGATTTGTTTTATTAGTTTTTTTAAATTGCAGATTACAACTCACAGCTTTACTGAAAAGTAAATTAAACAATATTTGTAGCATCTGTTATAAAGGAATCTAAGGCAAATTCAAAAAGAATAGAAATGTTAAATTCTGAAACTGTAAGAAAAAAAGCACAGCAACATTAGACTGCTTGAGAGCTTAAACTTGCATGATAAAGGCATTAAATTATGAACTAACCTTTATTTCACTGCCTTTAAATAAGGTGTGAAAATATCAAAGTGCTTTGGGATTTATACTCCCAGTGCTATATTGATGACTTTATGTAACAAGTGTCCAGCTTTTAGTGAGCCATATCGCACAGTCCTTCTTCATGTGACAACCCATCAACTTTCAAACTCATTTGTAGGAAGGTCTCAAGAGATTTTCAGAAAGATACTGACAAGAAGAAAGCTCTGAATCAGAGAAATACATAGAAATTCACTCCTGGTAATGCAATAAAGTATAGGGTAAATAAAAGAAATAGCAGGAGTGTTGTGTTTAGATGGCTGTGTTTTGTAAAGTGAATCACGTATTTTATAATTTTTATGAGGAAAACTTTCTCAATTTCTAATTAGCATTTCAAAATATGGGTTTAAACAAAGCCATTGACAGCCAACTACACAAATATTTTACAAAAGATACAATGCCTTTTACAAAATAGCAAAAATTAGACAGGAATTACACAACTGGCTTTTACAAAAAAAAAAAAGTCTTTTCCTTACATTGTTAACAGAAAGCTTGTCTAAGAAAAAATACACTGAATTTGGAAATTGTGCTGTGGGCAAGACAAAGACACCGACAGTCCAAAGCAAGACTGCAGCTCAAATAAAGATTTGTTCTTCCTGATGTATTTCTAATAAAGAGCTTGAATTACACATTCCAGTTCCTTCTCTTAGCTGATATCAGTGCTATCTGGTATAATTTAATTTGATTAACTGATAAAGAGTAGCTAATATAAACAAAGATGTATGAATTCCCGACCTTTGTTAAAGGTCTGGAAAGGAAAGCAAGCTAGGCAGCAACTGGCCCCTATACTTCCTATCAATAACTGTCCCTAGCAGGAGCACTTCTCGGTGTGACAGTCCAGAGTCACAGACTGGTTGAGGTTGGACAGAACCACTGGAGACTATTTCCATCTGTGCCCATTGCTTCTTGTCCTAGTGCTGGGCAGCCCTGAGAAGAGTCTGGATTGGTCTTCTTTATTGCCCCCATCAAGTATTCATAGACACTGGTAAGATCCCTCTGAGCCTTCTCCTCTCCAGGATAAAGTGAGAAAGCTCCCTCTCTGGGTCCTAGCACTGATCTATAATAAATGATCATGTTTGTAAAAATGCAATAAAACCATACATGCTACAGATTGCCTGTACATCCTTTTCTTTCCATTCTCTTAAAATAAAAATAGAAACAAGATATTTTTTTTTTTTCAAATAAAAAAGGGTTCTACCCTGGTCCTTTGTCATTCAGATAAGAACCAGCTGTTTGCTAAAGCACTGTCTGTACTAACTAGCCCAGCTGCTGCTTATCTAGATGATAAAAGGACAACTAATGTGGTCCTTTTTATTTAAACACCACCATCCATCCTATCTGAAGTTATGCACATAAATATGAAAAAAGTTTATGCACAAGAACATTACCAAAATATTCAAAGCATAAACAAACTTTTTTTTAAAAGAAACAATAATCAGACTCTCTTTTTCCTTCCGAAAGTAAATTATCCAAATACTCACATGCAAGCATTATGAATTTTAAAGAAGCCAGTATACAAATTTGCTATATATTACACTGTATCTAGGGTAGTGAAGCTCTTTCTGTCACACAGAATTACTCTCCAGGCTTTCTTTTTCCTTTCTTATCTGTGTATTGCGGCTAAGATGTCCAAAATTCTTCAGCTTCCTTTTTCAACAGAGATACTTTTACAACACTACTACCAGTATTAAATATGGTTTTCTTTGTTACCATGCAAGTGGGGATCCTATTTTAGGGACAGACTTTCCAAGACACAAAAACGTAGGTAAATAGCCAGTAAAAGGGTCGAGTTTGACTTACATGCACAATCATGCACTAGTACATGTAAAATTAGTGCAGCATTTCTCAGAAATACTGCATTCTTGTTCTGACAATGTTAAAAGGCAAGCAGAAGACAAAAAAAACTTTCAGAATAGTGGGATGGAACCCACATAGCTTTGCGAAATGTGGTTAGATGGTAGGTTATGGGGTATGGGGAGGAACCTGGGCAAAAATGGGAGCTTGCAAGTTGATATCAAGGGTAGAAAACAGATAGAGGAGAAAAAAGTAAGTGAAAATAAATGGGGACACGCAGAAGAGCAGAACAGAAGACAAAAGACACTACAAAATAGAAAATCATGTACATAGTTTCCCAACAACTAATTTCTAAAAATATTTCTTGGGATGTTTACTATTAGAAGTTTACCTGAGTACACTGAAAATCATGCACCAAAAAGAACATCAGAGGCCTAAAAGGAGACCATTAACAAGTCCTGTATTAGAAGCTCAGGTAAACTGTGCCACAATTAAAAAAAAAACAACCAATATGACCTAAGAAACTGAGAGAAAGATGGAAGATTTTAAGGAGCACCCTTCAGAGGATGCTCAGACTGATGGTAAAATGTGCACCAAGGACATGAGACATAAGAAGATACAGAGGGAATCAGCTGGACCCCTTGATGGCGAGAGTGAAAGGAGGACTGAGG